GTGTGTGTGTGTGTGTGTGTGTGTGTGTGTGTGTGTGTGTGTGTGTGTGTAAGAGAGAGGGGAGGGGAGGACTGTGCATTGGCTGGTCTTTTTCATGCATCCTTTGCTTTGAGGGGGAGTGGCTCAGATTGACGTCACTCACTACGGAGTGTCACACCACCCTCAAACACAAAAGTGGCTTCCTCTCTACGAGCAGGATGTAAAGCAACACAGCAGTGGCTTTAATTTTGTTTTCTGCCAGGATGTGGGTTAGGCAAAGAGCTTAATTTGCACACAGTAACTTGTTTTAAACTAAAGAAGCATCATTATTAAGACGAGGTTTTTTTTCTTTTTATTTTTTTAGCTTGTATCTTTTTCAAACCAAATCTGTGTTTTGAAAACCGGTTGGAAGAGTTTTTGTTTTTATTCATCTAGTAGAACAAGAAATGCCTACTGTGAGTAGGTATATGAGTTTTCGTACATCAAAGCGATTTAAAATTAGCAGGTAAGGCTGTCTTTTAACTTTGCTTTTAGCAGTCTAAAACATTTATTTATTTTACTAGAGTTCCATGCTTTATAGGTACGTGTTCATGTTGAGCAATGAAAATGTTTTCAGGTCAAGGACAGAGCGTGGCTTCTGAAAAGTTGACTGTAAAGAATCCCACAGCCTGTCTTTTTACAAGACTGTTTTCCCCATTTTATGAAAATGCCAAAGTCTAGTCAGTCTTAAGCTGACACCGAGCTGAGTGGAAAACAACCAGGATGAGCGTTGGTTCAGTTTAAGTGCTGACGTAACATGTTTCAATAAAACATTTTTATAGGAAAATGGTGAGCATTTYCAGCACATAGTAAAGATAAGCTTGTTTGTCACATCATTCCTGAAATTACTTTTAATGTAAATAGTCAGGGAGTTCATTATTTTTCTAAATTCTGCCGTAACAGGTTTTGTAAAATCTATGGGACTGTTTAATAGACATAAAATCAGTCTGGTAATTTTTGTGGTTGTTTTACACGACTGTTATTTTGCTGTGTTTTATTAACGGGGTTTTACGAAACTTTTTCAACTGCCAGTTTTCTTGTCAAAACCCCTTTTCTTAAGTTTCCTAATCTGTTTGCAGCTGTTTGTGTTCCTATACAATTGAAAGATGAAAATATATTTGTTTGAGGTTTAGAAAAGACTCAACAGTGTTTATCAGCTCATGTCCCAACCTGATATTTTCTGCATTTCATAGTGGTAAAAAAATGCAAGTAATTCTGTTGTGACATGCCTGTTTAAACAGCAACACCCACAAGACCAATTCTGCTTTCTCAATGTTCATGTGGTTCGCTGGAAATATTAAGTTTGTTCTTTTTTTTTCTGTTTTCTTTTCTTGCCCTTCTGCAGCAGCTACCCAGTAGAAGGTGGTGGACTGCCAGCCAAAGCCAAGAAAAGGAGCTCCATAAGCAATGGCAGCATCAAGAAGGTGGAGGCTAAGAAAGCCTTGAGTTTAGAGGCTGCCCAGCTCGAGATCCAGCAGCAGCACAAAACTCTCACCAGACAAGTAGCCATCAGGTGGGCGTCAGAGGGAAACAATAGTATTACTTAGAAAGTCACAAGTTGTTTGTAAACCATGTAACTGTAGCAAATTTTAGCTGCTGTTCACGCATCACAAGGCCTGACTCTCAGCTGGTGCTCTGTCGTCACACACATGATGAAAGCTGCTTTTTTCACACRCGATTCAAACAACTGAAACAGATTTGAGATGCTAAAAGTAAAGACTAGTTATTTAGATGTAATTTGCTCTCTTGTAATATTGATGGGGCTCATCACAGAGTTTTGTTGGCTCATCARGGTTGATGGAAAATTGTGCTTCTGTATGCTAAGATTTTCTTTAAAATAATTCCAAATAACAGCTGAGCTTTGTTTCTCTGCAGGTCAGAGACTTTTGATGTTGACAACAGGAGCTTTGAGAGGACAGAGGGTACTGGCATACAAAGTGTGAGTTTTTTTCACTTTTACTGAAATTATCAGTTGGATAAAGACATCTTTGTGAAAATCTTTGTTTTATCCTTGAAATTTCAAAAAGCAATCTTCTTCTTTTTTTTAGAGCTTCACAAAACACAACAAGACATTCCACAGATTGTTTCCAGACATTCCTGAGAGTGTAGACTTAATACATGGTAAGATTTAAAAAGATGAAAGTCTTTATTTTTAAATGAAAATCAAAGGTGTGTGTATAAAACTGAAAAGGTTTGTTCTGTCTCCCAGCATACATCTGTGCTCTGCAGCGAGAGGTGCCCTACCACGGTCGACTGTACATCACTGAGACCCACGCCTGTTTTTACTCCTCAGTTTTGCTCAAGGACACCAAGGTAGGCTTCTTTGATCCCGGAATATATTATTACCAAACTTAAAACTGATTTCTAAGTTTAATCATTTTGTTTATAAATGGATGTTTGTTTTTTTTCACAGGTTATAATTCCAGTTTCCTCCATCCTCGCAGTGAAGAAGCAGAATACAGCTCTGCTGGTACCAAATGCCTTTTCGATTCGTACCACAGAAGGAGAAAAGGTCAGTTTTTTTTTCACCTCCGATCTGTGATAATTAACTTTAAGGACACACAGTGGAACATTATGCTCAAAATGAAGTCTTGTTGAACTTCATTTAACTTTGTGGTTGATATTTAGTCCGAAACGGGTCGATTTTTATCAGATTTCTTAGAAGAAAGATGACTAATGGTTCTTTTTTTGTTTTGTTTCTCTTCATTGTTCAGTACCTTTTTGTCTCACTGCGGAACAGAGAATCGTGTTACCAACTGCTGCGCTCCATTTGTCCTCAGGTAGAGGTGAGTGGCTTTGATTAGCATCACAAAGTACAGAAAAACCTGAAATGCTGCAACTGGTCAGTGTGTTAAGAAACTGCGCACAGTGTTAGAGGAACATTATTAGCTAATGGTTGTTGGGACAGATTGTAAAAACACAATGTTGCAGCTGCTTGGTTGCAGCTGTCACAGTATTGCAACTAATTAGATTTTTTTTTTTTGTCATTAAATATACAATTTCATCCAATTAGTATAGAATCAAAAACTGTTTTTACAGCTTTTTATTTACCATTTTTGAAATGTTTCAAAGCTTGCAATGAGCTTATGTCACAAATATATAATCTTCTAATTCTTCTCTTACAGGACAGTAGCACAACTAGTAGCCCCATCTTCCCAATCAAAAACAGCTTTGATAAGAACAAACTCGAGGTAAGCCTCTTGTGAATAATGAACATTATATATAAAAATAATTAGTCTAAAATTAGTAATAAAATTTTTTTTTTAATAAAGGACCAAGAAGTATGAGAGATAATTCAGGTCACTTGTTTGTAAAAAAAACTAAAACCAATTATTTTCTCATTCACAGAACTCCAGCCAGTCCAGTTTGGACGACAGCTTCGACCACACAGATGGTTCTGGAACTCGGTCCTTGCAGGATCAGCTTCCAAGAGGTGGGATTTTTTTAAATTGCTCCAGTACATCATCTTAGCTGTGGATATATTACTTTACTATTTTAACAGATATTTGCAAATTTATATTTTTAAAAAAAATCTATTGTTTGTCTTTTTTCCAAGGCAGAATGTGATGCAAATTTCTGATTGATTGAAACAAAAAAAATTTGTTTTACTGCTCTTATCTTGTGTCCTCGATTCTTTAATAGATCGTAGACATGCAAAGTTCAAGGTCTAATAGAAGTTTAACATCGATTTTTGTCTCTTATCTCCTCTTCCTGCAGAAGCGGTGCCTAATGGTAGCGGTTCAGCTTTCAGGAGTCTGCACTTGCAGCAGAGTGAAAGTTCCTCCTCAGAGGAGCTCTCAGAGTCAGGTAGGAGCTGCTGTGATGAAACAAAAACAGACTGGGTGCTGTGATAAAATCTGAAACGGTCAGGGGAAAAAAAGATCTGATATTCATGCTTTGTTTAACTTGCAGGTGGATCCTGGGTGTGGAACGTGACTGAAAAAGCCAAGTCTCTGCTGGTTCAGAGAGAGGCCAGCACCCTCAACACCCTTCTCTTCATTTACTTGATTTTGTAAGTGGCACTGCCGTTCTCATGTCTGTTCCGTCTCCTCCCTCTCAGATCTTTTAATCCAAGGCGTTTTCATCTTTAGTAATCTCTACCCTGGAAAAGTCACAATCCCTAAACAAAATTTTGTTTGAAAGCCAGAGAAAATTATCTATTGGCTGATTTTATTTTTTTCCTTTTCTGATTTATTGTGTATGTAGTTTATTGCACTGGTCCTAAAGTATGAAATGTGTTGTGTGTGTGTGTGTGTGTGTCAGGGTCGTGCTGCTGCTTCTGTCTTCGGGTTACATTGGTTTGCGAATTGTGGCCCTCGAGGAACAACTTTCATCCCTCGGTGCTCTGCCAGAGTTCACCTTACAGAGCGGGTAAGATGTCTCTTTTTTGTGCTGAACAGGTTTTTTATTTCCACATTGAACACTGCTGCTGTATTAGTAACACCTTGCTGTTGGGGACTTAGCAGGCCTCAAAATAATCCAGAACTTCGTGTAATACTGCCACCTGGTGGACAGTTCTTGCTGTCTTCAGTTTTTTTTWAAATAAACATTTTATTAGTTTTATGCTTTCACAAGTAGAGAAAATAGAACAATATACACTGTATTGCCTAGAACCTTACATGAGTATGTGAAGAAGAAAAGCAAAACAGACAAAACAAAACCAAACAAAAAATAAATAAAAAGGTAAATTAAAAAAAATAAAATTTAAATAAATGGAAGCCACCATACAGTGTCACAATTATGTCAAATCATGTTTTCAATGGTCGGCCAACATTTATAGATATATAAATTGAGCTGCATCTGAATCAGCAAAACGATGACTTTAAATCTCATGAGGTACTAATATTTGTACCTTTTATTACCCTGATATGCTGTAGTGATGCGAGAGGCTCAATTATTCATAAATTAACAGATCTTAGTGATGCACCATGATGCTGTCTGAAGTGTTAAATATTCTGCAGAATTACTCACAAAAGGCAGAACCTGTATCACAGTGCAGTGTGAAACCAAATGGAAAATTCAAAAGTAAAATGGGCCACAGAAAGGAAGTGGGGAAACACAGTGTGCAACAACTACAACTAACCTCATTTAAGAACRCTTCACTTTAAACGTTTGTCCAACAGCTGCTTTATAAACTCTACAAATATAACATTTATAACTTATAACAGTAACTATATAGCATTTGAAAATTTACATAAATATTTGCTACTAAAAGTATCTGACCTGAAACTAAAGTTATATAGTATTTCTGAGACAYGTTCTGGAAGTGTCCAACTGTTTCACACACAAAAAAGTGCGTTCATCGTTGTTGTGTTGCTCCTAAAGCATTTCCTTTCTCTCAACAGGTATCGCAAAGACACGTAACACTCAGCAATGGAGGGAGAGATGGGTGGACTCGTGATTTGGAATCATTTCAGCCTCTTCTCAGCAGAACCCGGAGGGCCAACTTTAATGTACTCAGACTTCGTAACATGGCCTGCGCTGTTACACAGAGGAAGAGTGGCCAACCTGTGCAATTTCAGACATGTTGACTTGAAAAGCTACACTTCCTCTTTGTGCGGCAACCTGAAGGACATGTTCCAGCTTCGTCACTCAGAGCCAAGCCAAAAATCTTCTCACACTGCCTGGTTGCAGCGTGTCTGTTGTTTAATACCAAAGCCAAAAGGCTCGAGCTCTGCAAGGTGCCTCCCTAGTCAAGTTGTTGGGTACGTTGCTTGCAGAAAATGTTCTCATGTGATTTTTTTTTTTTTCTTTTCTGTTGCCCTTGGTCCTCTTCTCCTTGAGCATGCAGTCTGAATAGGGCTATACCAGTCAGCATTAGCCTGCTGTAGTGCTTTTTACTGCACCTCAACACTGGAGACATAGTGCTATGCATAGCCAAAGATGCACACAGTGCACATCTTTTGCATGAGTGCACGGGGATGGCTTTTTCTATCTCTTTATATAACCTTTCATTCATGAGCTGTATATTCAGTCCTGTCCATCTTTACATGCTGTACGTTTTGGGTACTTAAATGGTTTTAGCCTTTCGGATCAGCTGTGGGTTGGCATGATGACTAAAAACTTACAAAGTAGATCAGCCCACAGGGGCTGGATGATTTCCTGATGGTCTTACCCTGTCTCTCTCAAATCGATGAAAATTGCAGTATTACTTTCCTATCTTTGGCATGATTTAAACTTGTTTAATGATCATTGCTCAGTTATTTATTTTTTTCCCTTCCAGTCTCTGCTGGATAAATGCATCATCATTGCACAAATACTTTAGCACAATAAGACACAAGGAAGTTATCTCAAAGGTTTCCTCAACAGTTTTGTTTTTTTCATGACTTTGGTCTTCAAGAGTAGATTTTAATCTCGTCTGGTTGAAATGTTTTGTTAATGTGCGGCCTACCAGTAAAATGAGCATTCTGTGCTAAAGCACAACCCTCTCTGTGACCGGCTTCTGGRGGACTAATCACTAGTAATGTCTTTTTAATGCATGTGTCTGCAGGTATCGACACTTGACTGAAACTGTTTATGCATTGTTGCTCTTGTCATCTAGATGAAATTTTATAACCATGTTTGCTGTAAGGTCTCGCATTTTTGTTTCTAAAGCCAAACAAGTGGTCCTAAAGTCATTTCAATATGCAACATGCGCATGAAAAAAAAAAAGACTGTTTGTGTGCAGTTTTTTAAGCGAAGCGTTCATGTTTGTGGGGAATAAACTGTTTTAAGAAGAATAAGAAGTGAGAGGAGCGGCTCAAATGAGCGAGCGCACTTTAAAAATGTGTTGTGCCTGTCACGACCCAAAATGACTTTGTTTGTGCGGGGGGATGACAAAGCTGGCATTCTGAGGTATTTGGTGCTCAGTTTGAAYTTTTATTGAAAATTGATTTCACTCAGGGTTGGTGGGCACAACCTGCCATGTGGTTTTAACTGTTCCAGCTTGTCATTTCATTCATTTCATTCATAAAATCTTCATGATGGGTTTCACATTTTGCACCTCTTCCTCAAGTTTCACTTTTTATTGGGGAATTAAAAAAAACTCACTTGACTTTAATTGACCTACATTAAGCCTCTCRGAATGCTGGCTTTTTCTTTCTTTTCCCGTTTTATTATTGTTTTGTACCTAACAAAGCAAATCCATACCATATTCCAACATCAGTTGTTGCGGTGACTGAATCAACTTTTGCTACTTCCTCATTTAGGAGTGTCCAAAATAATGCAAATGTTTATACTGAACCACACCACCAGGGGGCAGCACACACAACCACTGTCCTTTTTGRTGACCCATTTCAAGATTCTGGATAAGGGCAGTTTGTGTGTGATTTTTGCACTACTCAGAGTATTGTAAATAATTTTGTACCAATTGTTAATGTTCTTAAATCCATTATGGCTTTCTCTATATGTATTTATTTGCATTCTGTGTAATTTAAAGTGATCTCTGGGAGATTGCTTAGCTTACTGTAAAAATAAAGCAAATGTTTGGAAATAATAATTTGTATGTTTGACTTTTTTTTGCATTACATTAGACCRGTGTTGTAATGYAACTAAGTACAAATACKTTTACTGTACTTCAGTAGAAATTTTAGTAATCTGTACTTGAGTAATTATTTTTCAGCCTGCTTTTTACGCTTACATTTTTTACACATCTCCTTACATTAAAAAAAAAAGGTAAGATAACTTTATTTATTTTGATACTTAAGTACAAAATAAATCAGGTACTTTAAGACTTTTACTCGAGTAATATTCTTAGAGGAGACATTAACATTTACCAAAGTAGTTTTATGATGAGATACTTGTACTTTTAATCAAGTATCACTTTCAGGTACTTTATACAACACTGCATTAGACCTGCTGGATTTTTATACATTACATAAAACATGAGCTGTCAGATGCCCTTCTTTTGATTTTTTTAATTAAAAACATTTATTTATTTTTTGTTTGTTTTTTGCTGTTGACTAAACTAAACTTCTAGAAATGGAAATTTCTGAAACATAAACTATGCAATGAAACTTGAAAAAATAAAAACCTCAGTYTAAATATAACCACAGGAAAGAAAGTAGCTCCTGCAGTTTTGGGGAGTTAAACCTCATCAGTACTTTAAGAGCATCATCTAGTGGTGAATTTTACAGTGAAAAACTGCAGCAAAATAAGCTCATTGTCTTTATCTTTGGAGGGAAAAAAAATAATTATGAAAATGCATCAAGTTACATTTAAAACTATGTGAGGTTTTACAATTTCCCATTTATTTTCTTCACTGGAAAGTGAAAGCAGTTGAAAGTTTTCCCAGAGCCTTGAAGAAAACGCGTGTGTTCATCCTGCTCAGCTGTCCGGGTTATTTGAAGGAGCCGGTTCTGCACTGGTCTGTCTGTAAGCACACAGCTGAAACACACCTTTAAAAAATAAAAGAAAGTGGTGTAAAGATTACCTAAGGACCATTTAAAGCTATAAACAAATACAGTAAAGCTAGTGTTTCATGTTAACAATGTCTCCAATGAAACAACCACACAAAAGGCAGGAGTTGGTAGCTACAAGTTAAAATAATAAGAAAAATACACTCAAAAAACAGATAAAATGGATTTAGTTTTAAAAAGTAAACTGGTTCCACTCAACTTTATTTTTGCATTTAACATAAATGTGTTACCTTTRGTCACTTCAGTTGAGTGGAACCACTTGACATAATTATTTTTAATTAAATCCACTACATCCTGTAGCGGTGAACACAGCGTGACCCAGAAGTGACTCACGAAAAGGCTCATGAGTAAAATGGAAGTTTACGCATCAGTAACTACAAATTATTTATTTTGCTTATTAGAAAACATATCTACGATATTTTGTTGAAACGTTATCTTATTTTATTTTATTTTATTTTTGTGTACCAAAAATAGAGGGGGGCGGCGAACGTGCGCCCCCTATTGACCAGCCGCCACTGATTAAATCTGGGGTTTTTTTTAGTGCATCTGATGCGAACCAGAACCAAGTCTGATGAGATTACATTTAAAATCTAGTCAACACATGTGTGTTCGTTATCYAAAAATAAAAGAGGATTAAAAACCTGCTGCAAAAGCCAAAATGACAGCAACCCAGCCTATGATGTAGGACCAGGAAAAGCGCCAGTCCAGGAAGCGTTTGCCAAAGAAAGTGACAGTCACGCCTGTGTAAATAGCCAAAGCCAGAAGAGCAAGAAAACCTGGTTTAAAGAGAAAAAGAAAAGAAGTTATTATAGTTAAAACATAAAACAGTTGAAAAGAGACATTTTTTTCTAAAAATAAAGTAAAATAAAATAAAATGAAATAAAAAAAACCCTCCTGAAGAAATCCTCCCAACATGGATTGTGTATTGTGATACTGTGGTTACCTGACAGGACCAGAGCGATGCCGCCTGTCCGGACTCTCTTGTTCTTGGTGCCGTTAGTGAAAGCACTCAGGCCCAGGACGATGCCAGCGAAGCAGCTCAGCACCGCCAGCAGCATGAAGGCCCGGGTGGCGTCCCAAAAGGCTGGACCACAAACACACAGTGAGCGCTGGCCTTCAGGAAACCAGTTCTTCACTGGAACTCAGATACTTACCCACAGTTGTGGTGTGTGCGTGGCATTTGTGGTTGATGCAGAACCTCCAAAGGCCCTGATTGGCTGAGCTCCCGGAGTATCGATACTGCATCCAGAAGTCTGTTGCCGTAGAGACGATGAGGAGCACGAGGGTGGCCACGCCACACAGAGTGCCTCCTCCCGCTAAAGTGTACAGCATCRTGGAGAGGACTTGGAAAACGCTGTCCCCCTGAACATTCAGCAGCTGCCCGCAATGTAAAGGAGACACCAGCAGAAGTTCAAACCAGTGGTGGATCTAGGATTTTTCTGAGTAAGGGGCCATYAAGGGGCCACAATATTCATAGAGGGGCCAAGTATTTATTCAACATCCTTGCACACAAATCACTGGTTTTGGTATGGTGTATGTATTTTACCATACATTCAAACACTTGTAATTTTAAAACAGCTTGCACTGTAAATTCTCGTTACCAATTTTACATGCATTTTACAGTACATAGATAAAACATTCTCAAACACGCAACATTTGAGATAATCCAGCCMACATTTGTGAGTTAAAATACTTTTTCCACAGGATTTTTCAAATTTTTAGAAAAGAAAAATACTTCTGTCAGCTTGATTCGTGCTGAACTTTTCTATTTGGCTCATTAGTGCCTCTAGTGTTTAGACATGGAACTGCACCCAGCATCATCACTCTTGGGCAAAGGACAGATGAATGCCCCTGTGGCCTCGCCCCTTGAACCGCCCCTGGTTCAAACTCAAATAGTTTGAAAACACTTAACCGTAGTAGATGAAATAAAAACGCAGTCACTTTTTAAAACGCTGTGAAATCAGTTGTGGACAATAGGCCTGCCTGTCAGGCAGGTCGGAGCCTTTGTTCACTAATTCCCCTCCACACATCAGAAACAAATGCTCCAAAAACCGAAGGTCAGCACTGTGGCGCTCTGTCACACAGCCAGCAACATTTCAGACTGATTTAAACTTTTCTTCTCCAAACATCTTTTTTAGTAACCCAATGCTCATTTAAGGCAGGTATGAAMATATAATAATGAGAAACAATTTATACTGAGGCCAAGCAGGTAAGCTGGGCAAAYATTTTCCATAAAGAGGAAATGAAAAAAAATCCTTTGTAGTTTGTAATCCTCCAAAAGCTTCACCGATTTGCTCTCCAACCCCCCTTAAAGGCAGTCCCATCCTTCCAGCTGGGCATTAAACACACTCTATAAATGTTGTTTTCTCTGTTACCTGTAGTTTGGCCGATCTCGCTCCAGGATTGCTGCCTCTAACTTTGTGCCCATCCTTTTTAAGCCCCGTCCCTCGCTCTCTCTTTGTCCACAACACAAAGAAGGGGAATGATCGAGTGCAGCATGTGAAGGATGGTAAATCCCCCCCCTCTGCCATAACCTTCATCACACTATAACACTAACGGCTTTTCTCTATTGCACTGATGCATTGCAGGAATTATTTTTTTCTGTGACTCAAAAATAATGAATGTGCTTTTTTTTGTTGTTTTGTTTGTTTTTCCATCAGTGGCCTTGGCCATCTCTCCACCATCACTGGATGATAGGCCTACAGAATATGCTGGACAGCCACTGATATTCTTCAGTGGTTAAAATGCTTTTATTGCATTTTATGATTTTAAGATGCGTACAGGCAAATATTTAAAGCACATTTAATCATTCACCTTACAGCTTTATTACAAGGTTGGATGTGCTTTTCTCCCCCTTCCTCTCATTCTATCCTCTTCTCAATTGGTGGAAARACAAGTCTTTCTGCGCCTCGTAGATTTATTTTCTGCAGATTTCMAGTGTTTTTAAAGTTTCATCTGAAAGAAGCAGGAAACATGAAGGAGTTGAAGCTTTTTGACTGAAACCTGCAGGAGTTTAGTTGGACAAGTGTCGAGATGTCAGATGATCCAACAGGCTGGTGGACTCTCTCCTAGAACTGGATGAGAGATCCTCTATAGCAGTGGTTCCCAAAAGTTTTATCTTCTGACCCACAAAATATCCATGGCTAAAACTTGTGACCCCAAATATTACTGGTCTGAGTACAAGAACTTTGTTAATAACCCTAAAAACACAGGCTTTTTGACAATCTAAACAGCTTGTGCACAAATATAAATACTTATTTATACTTATTTTGTGTTTTTGTAATAATTATAGGGAAAATATTACATCAGCAATTATTTTATTACCCTTTAAATTGATTTCTGGAGATTATCCAAGGTGCTTCATGACCCATAATTGGGTCCCAAGCCCAACTTTGGGAACCAAAGTGCAGTGGTTCCCAAACYTTTCAGCTTTTGACCCACAAAATAACAGCAGCAGAGACCTGAGCCCCCAACTATGTTTGGATGATAAACATTTGTTTCAGTTCAACTAAACATGGGCATAGTAACAATATTTTTATACTACATTTATCATTTTAAATATATTAACCTCACTCATTTGTAACAACTAAGGCAAAAATGTAATTAATTCAGAAAATCTTTTCAGGACCCCACCTTGGTGTTTCGGGACCCCAACTTTGGGTCCCAACCCCAACTTTGGGAAAAGTGGTTCCCAAAGTTGGGGTCAAGATCCAGCTTAATGAATATTGTTACTATGTCCTTGTTTATCTGATGTGAAAACAGTGTTTATTACCCAACAACAGCTGGGGTCTCAGGTMTCTGCTGCTGGTATTTTGTTCTGATCTTTTCTAAACGTTTTATTCTGTGAAAACAGTTGAATTAAAAGACAAATGTTCACAGAGAACAGTTTACAGGTTCACGTCCTGCTCCATCACATTTTAGATAGTTTTTCACTTTTTAAAGCTAAAAGATGACTCCTGGAATTGAACCTGCACCCTCTAGATTCCAATAACAGCCAGTCTTATTACTATCTGTGCCCCTAACTCTTCTACTAATACCTTTATTTTAAATAACTTCGGGATTTTTGGGTGTCAGGATGTCTCAAAGGTCTGAGGACTGAAAGTCTGAGAGGAAAACCTTCACCTGATCCACTTCAGACACTCAGGAGGTCCTGAAGCCTCAGAGCTGAGAAGACTGAGGTCTGAACTCATCAGGCTTCTTTACTCTGAGCTGAACTTCAGGATCTGCTTCACCCAGGAGACCAGAACCTCCTCAGACCTCAACACCTGAACTTTCAGCTGCTCTTCAGATCTTCACTTTCTTCTCTGGACTCAGTCCTGAATCCTACATTTCCATCAAACTCAGGTAAAGTTAGGAAAAGTTGACTTTTTGTTTCTTCTTTCGTTGAATGTTTCAGATTCAGTTTCTTGCCTCTGCTGTTTTCAGCTGTGTTAATTTTATTTGTCCATCTCTGCAGATGATTCCTCAAAAAGTTCGCAACAAATTTTCCTGAAAATTTCAGGGCATGTTGGGGTTGTCCCAACACAACAACTAATTCAATTTTAGTGGTGATCTAGCAACACAAACCAGAGCTTCAACTAATAACTAGCTGATCAGCATTTTCACCATCATGAGGACTTGAACCAACAAGCTGAATATGTGCTTATGTTTTATTTTTATTAATCAGTTTTAAAGTTTAAGATCACTGCAGTTGATGAAACTGACTCCCAAGCTGACATCAGGAATCAAACCGTCAACTTTTCTTAGGATTTGATCCAACCAGTCTCACACTCAGGACAAGCTTAAAGTCGACCCCTGCAGACCTTTACTGAAACGTTTTATTCAAAAGGAAGAGGATGTGTGAGACAGATATATTTTTTATTGTTTTTACAACTTGAACACGGTGAACTCTCTGTGATGCAGGCATTTGTAACACACCAGTGCACGAAYAGAATTTAAAACAACACATTTGGACACCAGCATTGTGAGTGACATCAGAAGGACATAGAAATATAAAAAATAGACGCACATAAAACCTGTGAGAAGTGGGGAGGATGAAATCTGATTCTCGACTCGCCAAAACAAAGTTTAAAAAACGCTTTTGCTGTTTAAGAGCATCGTTTTTTTTTTCTTTTCTTTGAATACATGGCTTATTTTGCATCGAAATAAATATAATTCAACTATAACTGAAGTTCATTTAATTAAGTTTACTATTGTGGTGCATAAAAATTGTGAATTTTTCCAATTTCTTGCATAAAAAGACCAAGAAACATTACACAAACAACACAAGTGAGGTAAAATGTTACGTTTATCGCAGGCAAAACTATGACCCTTGAGGTTTTCTGTTCTCAAATAACTAAATAAATAAAATAAAATATTCAGGTGTTTTCAAGCTTGAGTTGCTTAGATTAATTAAAAAAAGCACTCTGGTGCAAAAGCTTTATTCCATCCAAAAGGGGGGTCACATCATGGCACAGGCTTGTTTTGTTGCATCAAAGCTGTAATTGTTTAGATTTTTTAATGTAAAAAAGTAAATTAAAATTAGTTTTTTAATATTTTGTATGAAGACAATCTAGAGTTTAAGCTCTTCTGTTCAAAACACTGGATTTAAATCCTTCCAAGGTGATTAAAAAAAACATTCATCTGAAACTTTAATCTGAGTCACACCTAAAGTTCTCCTTCAATAAAATCTTAAAAGCAAAACTTCTAATTTCGCCACTCACAAGACCAACACTATTGTGTTCATTATTAAATGTTTAATTATAAATTATTTATTTCATTGAGTGCTCGTTGGAAATTTTGTTTGCTACAAACTAAATGCTGAATTTTTGTCTGAGACACATTTTTTAAAATTACTTAATTCTAAGTAACGATTCAGGTGCTGAAATTGGTGAAAAACCCTTTTCTACACACAGGTGTTGACAAAAACTGATTATTCTCTACATTAGTGACACTGCTTACAGACTTTACAGTTGACAAGGCATATGAGAAAATATAAAAAAAATTGCAATAAAATAAATAGTCTCTCAGTCAGTTCAGTCATCTGAAATATTGAGTGTTACAAAAAGGCACATCATGATATGCATAACTCAACATGGAGTCCAGGCACAGCTTCTGATAGAAAATATAAATGTAGCCGTGTCTCGATGAACGACATGTTAATGTTRTTATTATCTTTTTTTGATTATGTTTTGGCTAAAGTGTGTTTGTGGGAGAGATTCTCATTTTAAAGTGTGCTTGCAGTAAACTTGTTCATGTCAGTAACAAAAAAAAAGGCATTCTGATATTTATCATTTAGATATTTGACCTTAACCCCTTAACAGTCTTTGTCTCACCAGTGGACAATGATGGTGAGCTTTTTGCTTTTAAAAGCTTTACAGACGCTACCGGGGGCTTTTACTTTGAAAACTAGGGTGGTCAAATGACTTCCTCCGGTTCTTACGTTTAATTTGACACCCTTAAAAATTTAAAATGTGGAAAGGCTTTTAAGGACTTTCAGGGGCGTATGTTCAGGGGCTGCGTTAAGAAAAATCACGATCAGAAAAGAAACACACAAACATATGCAAAATATTTAAAAATCACATTTATCCTACAACAGGGAATTTGTTCTTTTGTGGTTCTTTCCTAATTGACACAGAATTCGAGTGTGTCACACACACACACACACACACACACACACACACACACACACACACACACACACACACACACACA